CACCAGGAAAGGACCTGGGAACATCTTAAGGCCCACAGGGCAAAACCAGATCAATGAGCACCAACTCGGTTTGACTGAAGAATGGTGTGTCTATGTCATCTTCAGGCACAGAACTCTCTGTATACTGGACATTCTAGGGGAACTTGGAGCCCCAACTCACTCTCCTTTTCAGAACCTTAGACCCCAATAGTAATGATAATAATCAAATTAACAACTATTGAGCAGTCATTACCTATGAAGCATTGAATCAAAAACTTTATATGGTTTACCTCATTTGAGCCATACAGTAACCATAGATGATTGGCACTATAATTATTCCCATCTTACAGATGAAAAGACTGAGGTTTGGAAAGGTTAAGACCTTGTCTGAGGTCAAGAGCTAGTGAAAGAGCCAAGATCAAACTCGGGTTTGTCTGATTTCATAGTCAACACTCTTAATCACTGTGACATTCTACCTAACGTGTGCAAGTTTCTGCTTCTGTGTCAGATATCAGAGTCCACCTGCCTAACACAACGCAAAAATAAAAGTTTCCATTATTTTTCATGCCAGGAACAATCACCCAAGGGTTAGGCATCAGAGTGAACTGCCTTGATTTTATCAATTTCTCCTGTATTCATTTTCTCCTGTACTTGAGACTTTGCTGTCCTCTTTTGACTCTTAAATACCCTCTCATTGAGCCTTTATGTGTAAAAAAAAAAAAGGCCTTAAGTACTAATAATGATGGAATGGAAAACATTGATATGTTACACATTCACTCAAGAAAAATTTAGTGGACAAGTTAGCTAATAGTATTATACAAATGTTCATTTCTTCACTGTAATATACACACCATGATTAGTAGGATATTAACATTAGGGGAAGCTGGGTAAATGGTGTATAGAACCTCTGTCTTACCTTTGCAACTCTTCTATAAATCTAAAGTAATTTCTAAATAAAAGTCTTTAAAAATGTAATGGACGGGCTGGGTAAGAGATGCCCTGCAGCACCCTGCTTAAGAGTGATTGTTTAGGACAGCATTACTGATGGAATGCAGCTGAAGTGAGATCTTGAGTCATGTGCATGAATTACCACTGGTAGCAATAGCACAGAGTCCCTCTAGTCCAAAGCCACAAGAACAACACATCTTGCAAACCAAGGCTTTAACAAGAGCTGAACAAGAAAAGAGATCAGTCATGATCCTTCACATCTGGGCCATAAGTATACCCTTCTATGGAAAAACATCACGGTAAATGGTGTGTGTGTGAGAGAAGGGAGAAGGAAAGGGGGACAGGGAGAGGGTATATGAAGCCAGCCAGGAAGAAAGAGGAAAAATACATATATGAATGAGATGAAGCTAGAGGGAACAAGAAAGAATCATTTCTATTCCTCATCTGGAATCAGGGGAAGAATTTATACATCTGCATAAGTCACTTGACAACAGAGAGAGAGTAAGACACTGGAATACTGGTCCTCAATACAAGAAACTTTTTTTTTTTTAACTTTTCCAAAAAAAGTTTCAGAAACACCCATCCAAGAGTTATTTAGTATAACCAAAGCATTTCATAAGAATTTTACAAGGCACTAAAAACATAGAATATTTTGGGCATGAAGAATACTCGGTAAGAAAGTTTTGAGCATGATCAAATCCAGAATTAAGAACACTTTGCAGGATGTAAAGGTTTCTTACTCAAGGACAGTGACCATTTATTCTTCATTCCTCAGACAAGAAGAAAATAGATTTGTCCAGTTTAGGGGAAGAAGGTCTTGAAATAATAGGTGAGGAAATACTTGTATCTCACTAGGTCACCAAAGGTGATTACCACATTGTCTTTGGATATCATTGCAAAGAGAGGAGGTTGTTTTTTGTAAGGGTTTAACATAAAACTTCCTTAAAGCACAGGAGGAATAGATGGTCAATTTAGGGTCTTCTCTAATTCATAGAAGCAAAGCATATATAATATGTAGCTGCTTTAACATTCTCTTTGAGGAGTAGTTGCTAAAGAGGAATCAGGCATCGTAATTCTAGGACAAAACTGCCAGTCACGTCATGAAACTGATGTTAAAAAAAAAAAAAAAATCTTCACTGATCGAGTTTTCTAACCTCCCTTCCTATTTCAGAGACTTTCTGAGGATGTATGACCATGAACTTGCAATTTAGGAGACAAGTTGATCTGGCACTAAGCTCCGATTTCTTTTCCATTAAGACAACTGAGGTAAGTTCATGAGAGAATAAATCATGGCCCCAAATGAGAATCTGAAAAAACGCTATTACCCCTCCAACACTTTATTTTCGAGGGGCTTATCCATTCATATCCTATTTACAGTACCCTATTTAATCTACCCTTAAGGATAGATTTTAAGATAAACCATTCAGTTTTCAAAATTCATTTATTATTTTCAGAAGAAAGAAGAAAATATAGTAGTCCAATACATTATATCTGAACGTTACTGTCGTTAAACCCTCCTCTGAGAAACTCCCCACCTCACCCCAAACAGCTTGGTAAAACCACCATCCACTTTAACCCTGTTTGTCTTCCATTTATATTTTAGTAGAATAATTTGGCCATACACACAAAGGCCTTCCCACTAATGAAACCAGGATTTGCTAAGAAAAATCAATTTAGAACTTGCCTTAGTATCTATCAAAGAGAAAACCAGTTATTAAAGTGTAAAACACAGCAACCATCCTCAAACTCTTAGAAGAACCAGTTGGAGAGTATCAGAGACAAACAAAGGGTTAACACAGCTGATTTCTGGGTTAAGAGAAAGATAAAACATAATTTAAGGCAAACACCTGGAAGGAAAAAAGTAGTATTTTGTTTCCACCTCAAGAAACTGCAGACAAACATGAAGGAAATCACATCATTGGAATACTCAATTATCTGAACATGCTAATTAACTAAATGTAATCAACTCGCTTTCAGCCCTCTCTTCACCTGCTGTAATATTTCTAGTGCATTGCCTTCCTTATTTCTCACAACCAGTAGTACATTAGACAGTCTGCATATCATTGGAATACTCAATTATCTGAACATGCTAATTAACTAAATGTAATCAACTCGCTTTCAGTCCTCTCTTCACCTGCTGTAATATTTCTAGTGCATTGCCTTCCTTATTTCTCACAACCAGTAGTACATTAGACAGTCTGCATAGTGCATCAAAGGGAAACAAATAAGCACAGATTTTTGCTGATGGCAGGAATTTCTCATGCTCAGGGCATATGAACCAACAATATGGAAATGGCAGCACTGGCTGTATATTTTAATTATTCCCCACATCCACTTTGCAAAAGAGACAAAGTTCAATTAGGTTATATGATGCTCGGTTATGGTTATTTCATAAAACTGAGCGCAGTCATTTAAAGTAGTAAATATGCAGTCATGACAGAATTAAATATTCATGAAATCAAGAGGGAGTGGAAAGCCGAGGATATCAGAGTATTAAAATTCATCATAGTTTTCACAATGTAAATCTTGTATGCATTTGTAAGACACCCCAGTCTTGTCTAGGGTGTGTTCATATTCCAGTTTCTTGGTAGACTGCCATTTAAATAACAATATTGATTTTGGTAGAGAAAAAACAATCTTGAATCTTAGCTCAGTTTTCAAAACGCGAAATAATTTTGAACATTTGCAAGTCTGAACTTGTTAAGTGCCTGTCTCCAAACACAGAACAGCAATATTCAATGTGATCTCGACGTGTTTGGGGTATTTGTTTAATCCACGAGTATCTTAGGAAAGATCGAACAGAAACCAGGGCAATCTCCAAGGAGGAGCACTTCAGGAGATGAAATACATTTCTAACCAGCAGAAGTGCCTACTTTCCTGTGCACTTCCTTAAGTGAGCGAAAGTGAGAGAGTAGATTGTCTGACTCTTCTTTGGTTCTAATATTCTGATTTGCTGAACTTTTCCCTAATATTAGCGGCCAGTTTCAAAATGTATTAACTAATACAGGTGTACACTTTATACAGATACAACTAGACACTAGCTTCCACAAAACTAAATTCCAAGTGTGTACAGAGAAAGACTGCACCCACAGACAAAGCTGTAATAAATACACTCTACTAACATTACCAAGGCATTGTTTTCTATGCCATTTCCTCTACTTTACAATTTTCTCAGCAGAAGAAACATCAGCTCCAGAGAATCACATCTGAGCCATTTCTTACTAGAATCCAATTACCTGAAGAACTCCTCTCGTCACAGTAAGTAGCAGTTATGCCCTGGTCTACAATGACACAGCAGGGCTGCAAAAGATTTGCAGGGCTCCTCTGCTGCCAGGCACTTGGTCCTTGCCCTCCTAGGTAGGAGCATGCCAGGTGAGGAGGAGCACCTTCAGTTTAGAGCTGGGTTAAGCAGTGCTCTCCAATCTGCAAATGAGCCAAACTTTGCTCCCATTGTTATCATCTTTAGGTTGATGTCACCTCCCTCCTAGGAGTCTCAGAAGCCACTTGGCAGCTCCTGAAGACATGTTTCCATTAGACCTGTATCATCCAAATAAGCCTTGGTTACACTGTGAGGGCAAGCAAAGGTCTAAGACTGCTCCCCTGAGGCGCTGTGCTCTGCCCTAAGCAACACACTGCATGTACCAGAAGACTTTTCTCTGCACACGCCGCTGAACACGGAAGCCAGGACAGACTTCTACAAGCCTTCCAGTTCGGAAAGTCACTGTCGCCCATGGATTCCCGTAAAACCCACGCCTTCTCCACATCTGCCGCCCCCGCCCCCACACAAACGAGGCAAGGGGGTTGGAGGAGCTGAGGGGTTAAAGTGACAGCCACTACTCGAGCTCCTTGGTTTTGTTCAAACGGTGTCACAGCGCCAACACTGTGGACCTACCTTGCTCTCTCCCTTCTCGCCGTTGGGTCTCGTCTCGGGATCGTCGCTGTCCTCAGCGCCTGCACTCTCTCCGGGCAGTTCATCCTGAGCCAGCTGCTGCTGCTGCGGCTGGGGCTGGGGCTGGGGCTGGGGCGGCTGTGGCGGCGCCTGGCAGGCTCCGCCGGCCCCCTGGGAGCGGGGGATGGGCTCCGGACGCGGAGAAACTCCCTCAACATCCATCTCCATCTTCCCATTCACTGGAGGGCAAGACAAAAGCGGAGCGGAGACTTGGCAGCAGCGCCCGGTGGCTCCTCAGCTGCCCGTGGCACGCATGGCTCGCCGAGGAGGGGCCGCCTCCCGCGCGCCCTCCCTCCTGCCACCCTTGGCCCGCGCTCCCCGCAGCTCCGCTCGCCTGCTCGGCTCCGGCACTGGCGGCGTCTGGGCCGGGTAGCGCGAAGAGCGGGTGGCCGCGTGTCCTTGGAGTGGTGGCCTTCAGGCGCCCCCGGCAGTCCCGCTAAGCAGAGCGCATCCGGGCGGCGGCGGCGGCGGCGGCGCCTCCCCGCTGCGCGCCCAGCCCCGCGGCCGCTCGGGGACTTGCTCTCCAGCCCGGCCTCCGGATCGTCGCAGCTTTCCAGCGTCTCCTGGGGCCCCTCAGCGTTTCCCCTCCCTTCCAACCTTCTGAACAAAGTTACTGGAAGAACAAACCAGATCGCCAGGATCTGCCCGGCGAAACTGGCGAGAATAGGGAATGTCAGGTGCAAGTGAAATCTCCCTACCCGCCCGCTGACCGCGCGCCGACCCGCAGCCTCGCCCGCTCCCCAGCGCACGGCAGCCAAGGAAAGGAGGGTTTTCTGTGCTAGGTGGCGACGGCGAAGACTAGAAGGAGCATGCGGAGGGCTGGTGGCTGGTGCGCCCACCTCCGGCCCCAGGTGATCCCCACCTCGGCGCTGGCCCTGGGCCCCCTCCCTCGTGCGGCCGGGCGCGTCTCCGGGGTCAGCCCGTCAGTGCCGGGCGTGTGTGCCCAGAGCTCCGCTCTCCGACTGCTCCGCGCTGCACAGCCCTGCACTGAAGAACTGGAGTAGACTAGAGGAAGCCAGTGGCGAATCTCGGGCAGGAAACCGACCTACCCTTGCCTCCGGCCCGATCGCGGGTTAAAACTGGGAAGAGGTGGGGCCCCGCGGGGATCTCGGGGATGGCTGGGATCGCGGGGACGGCGAGGACGCGAGTCTCGCGGCGCGCAGGAGTTTGGCGTAAAGGTCGGCAGCAGAGGGTCGATGGGGGAGGAGGAGGGAGAAGCGAGAAGTCGCTGCCAGGCATTTACTGCAATGTGCCCCGGGGTGGGCGCCAGCTGGGCGCCGTGTCTCCCTAGTGGCGAGTTCTGTGCTGGGAGGGCGTCCTCAGCAGGGCAGGTCTTCAGGAGGCTCCGGTGGTGACCCCAAGGGCAAGCGGTAAGCTGCGTCTATAAATATAGAGATGGCAAGGGTAGAGTTGGAAATGCTTAAATTGGGGCTCACAGTCAGGTGATCAGGATGACTTCTAAATTTAACACCACTTGGTCCTGGGGAGTAGCTTACAACTTCACAGCTACTTCATGGCTACTGCAACTCTGCAAGTCCAGGAGGGACCTTTGAGCAGCTATGGAGAAAGATAACGGGTAATTAAGAACCTGTTTAATATTAAGTAGGCCCATTGTTCTGGGCTTTGAGTTCCATAATGCCCCCAAAAGGATCAGCAGATAAATGAACTATTCACGCATTTCTTAGCAGAGGGTGGCTTTTTTCCCCCTCACATATAATGGATCACAGATAGCACTTGCCTAATGAAACTGCAAAATTGCATTTTTCATCTCATGTCTGCTTTGCATTGAACACAGCTTTTACATATCGAGACACTGTCCCAATAGATGCAGTTACACAAGAACACATGATTAGGTTTTACCCATCAGTGCAATCTCTTAATCTCTAACTCAGTGTGTAAGAATGACAGAAATGAATTGCCACTTTAATCAGTGTAGACAGCCAATCTGGATAATGCTGTGTGGACATGCTTTTGGAAAGAAAAATGTGTGAGGACTGAATCGGCCATTCTCTTTTTCTTCAAAATTTCTAAAAACTAGGTTTTAAATTCATTTTCTAACTTGGGAACGTGTTAAAAATAAAGTGAGCTTTATTTAGTCTGAGATTCACTATAGTTTTAAATATTATAACCTTGTATGTATTAATGTAGCAGCAGAGAAAATAAATACAGAGCTATGTGCCTTTCAAGACGCAACTTTCCATTTCCTCCCCAGTACATGGTAATAAACCAAAAATTCTTACAGGATTTTTATAATGGTAAATTAGATTATCTGTGTAACGTGCTTAGCAGAGTACCTTAGTACATAGTAAGCACCCAATAAACATTGTCTGTTATACTGAGAGCAGTAAGATAAAGTCACCTTGAGCATTCATCTGAAGACCTTGATTTACAAAGAAGCTACCAGTTTAGTTAATCTTTACTTAAGTTTCCTAAAAGATATTTGGTATCTTCAGAAAATGAAGCCCCTCCTGAGTACAGAAAGCAAATCAATGGTTTTGTGCAGATTTTCCTTCTACAATGTAGAAATGAAAATCACACGTCAGTTCAGACAAGAGCTGGAACCGCTGACTGGTAAGTTATTATTCTTCCATGCTTGTTACTTCCAAAATGTGTTTGTGAACTTCTTTCAAGGCTTGAATGAAGATTAAATCAAAATAAAGATAAAATACTTCAACTAAATGTTCTAAATTTAGGCATGTGCTTTTAAGGATTCCTATTGTTAGATGCAAATATTATTCCTTTCTTCTGCCCCCTCTATGTTTTGGGGACACAGATTTTTTTTTTTTAGCATCTGTCATAAGTAAATATGGACTCGGAAAATATATTACATTTCAAAACTGTTGATTGCACCTAATTATGCATGTAAATTGCTACTTCAAGCATGCAGACAGCTTGCAACATTTTGAAAATTTTGCCCTACTAGTCATTTGAGGTATTTGTGTTACTATTTTGCAGTTGCCTTAAATGACTCATTTCCCAATTAACTTTCCGTTAATGATAGGCCTATGAATAATTTTGACCTTTCGATGTCTTTCTCTCAGATGATTCAAAATTAGCAAATCAGCACTTTTAACAAAACCACTCTTCTGTTTATACCAGAACCACTTGATTTTTTGAGTCACTGAGATAAGTTTACAAAAAGGTGTCCTGGAATAGTCAGTCTAACCCCTTGCTCAGAGTGTGGTCCATGGAACCAAAGCATCCCAACACCTGGTAGATTATTAGAAATGCAAAGTCTCGGGCCCCACACTAGACCTACTGAATTAGAATCTTCATTTAACAAGATCTCCAAGTGATTTCTACCACATTCAAGTTTAAGCACTGCTCTAACGCATCACAAGGTTGGGCTTTCTACATTACCTCTATCTTTGGCACTCACGATTCCTTTAAAATTCTACCTAGAAAGACTTACTAGGAAGACACAATTTACCAACACTTTTTCTCAAGGTATTGTCTACTCCCCTCTCCCCCCGTCCATCCCCCAGGACTTTAGTTGTCGGCATATATACAGCTGGGGCTTACAGACCCCTCGAGTCTGTTGCACAGACTGGGTCACAAACCCTCCACACGCGCAGGTCTGTGAGCTAGGTAACAGAAAAAAAAAAAAAGGTTCTGGGAGCCGTGGGTATAGAAAAATGAACGGGTTTTATTCAGATCCAGGAGCAACTGCCCTAAGTGGCTTCTCTGAGAGTGTTGAGAAGCACTGTGGATCAGAGCTGTTAGTCTTTCATACTTAAGTCCTCAACCCTGGACACCTGGGTGCCCATACACAACTTACATTAAGTAGTAACAAAGAACTCCTGAGGATATTTACAGCAAATGCTCGCAAGATTCTGAACATCTGAGGGGCCCTGACCATTTTCCTATTTTTTCCCAACAGCATAATAAAAAGTTTCATAAATTAAGAGTATATTTATGTTGTACTTCTCTGGTAATGAATAAGAAGTGCACAGTTTTCTAAAATCAAAAGACGTTAACCTAAAAAGCACTTTATCCTAAATAATAAACTATGCAAATATGTGGAACTAGTTCCTAAAAAACTCGGTTGTTCTTGACCTACCTTACTTAAAAGTCCACAGTTTCTCTCTGCTGGGATTATCAATGTCTTCTGTTACAATGCAAGCAGAAACCAAGTTTGTGTCTGTGCGATGACAGTCCAATAAAGCTTTAATCTAAAGTAAGTTTGGACTAAATTATGGGCCCCAATATTTTTAGAAACTATCAGAATTTGTTACTTGGAAGAATTTCTTTATAGCACATACAGACATAGATCGATAAATTATTACTTTAAAAAGCAATCTAGTACAGCATTTCTCACCTTTAATGTACATGAAATAACCCAGAGAATGTTATTAAAATGCAGATTATGATACAACAGATCTGGGTTTGGGCCTGAAAAAATCTACATCTCTAACATCCAGGTGAAGCCAGTGCTTCTGGTTCTCAGACATAATAGATTTGCTTTTTTGTCATCAATTATTCTCAAATTTTAATCATGTGGGGAACTTTTTAAAAATCTTTAATGCCCAGACTACACCCCGGGCACATTAAATTAGAATCTCTGGGGGTGGGATCTAAGCATCAGTAGTTTTTAAACCTCTCCAGGTGATTACGATGTGTGACCAAGATTGAGAATCAATGCTTTGAGTCAGTGATTCTTCAAGATTCTCTGAGACTGGCAGCAGCAGCACCTGGGAACTCACAGAAATGCAAATAATAGTGCCCCACCCCAGACCTGCCAAATCAGAAAACTCCAGGGCTGGTACCCACCAATGTATGTTTTAACAAGGTACAATTTTGATACATGCTCAAGTTTGAGAACCACAGCTATAATTAAAGATTCTCTATGACTACGTGTTAGTCATGTAGTGTTCAAAAAATACTGATTCCTCAGTGCATTCCTCCCCACACACAATCAATTAAATAAAAATCCCTGGGGGTGAAATCTAGCATGGTGATATTTAAAAGTTCCCTCAGGTGATTCCAGTTGTGCACACAGGGTTGAGAAACATTTCTATAGACTGAATTTTTATGTATGTAAATTGGTGTTTGCATGGAGCAGCAGCTTCTTCTACGCTAGCTAAAAAAAAAAAAAAAATCCTTAATCTGCAAAAATGGATTACCTGGAAAGGCAAATTAGAGTACTATCCCAATTATCATAGATTCAAATTAGTGTACTCAGTATTTTCTGATGAGCCTTTTTTTTCTTAGTAACATGACAGTGGCTTTTGCTTTCTGCAACAGAATTTGATGTGAAAAAACTCAATTTTAGGTGGTTATGAGATGTACCCTGGCACCAGCATGCAATGACTAAAG